GCCGTTTTACTTGAATGTGATTACTTCTCAGCCAAAATTATGGGCTAAAAGGATTTGACCTTAACTCTTTTAGTTTTTCCGCCATCTATAAATCCTAGTTAGTTTTTCTTTTACTTTTTGAGTTCAGCAAGCATCCTAGAATTCTGTATTTATTCGTGTACTTTTGGACAAAATTCATGATACTTCTAGCATTCAAGACACGGACTTTGTAAACCCATTAATGGTCACTAAATATTTACTCAACATTACCAAAAGAAAAATAAAAAAGAGTAGTCAGTACTTAACAGTGCACTATAGCTATGTGTATGATGAGGGTGTGAACCAGTCAAAGATTTTGTGGAGTAATCATTAAAGTGGTTAGTATGTCTTTACTCATATGAAAATGATTTTTTAAGAAAGGCCAATAAACAAGGAACAAAGGAAACAGTAAAGAAAAAGAGGGTTGTGGCAGGAAAAGAATTAAAGGGCAAAATTTATAAAAAGAAAGGAAAGACAGTGACTGTGTGCCAGGTAGATTTGTTCAGATGCTCAGTGGGCCCCTCTGGAAGTCAGGAGCTGATGTATGATAAAAGGGTTCTTTTTCCCTTGGGCTAAAATTTAAAGGAAAGAGAATTATCTCATGGCCCACTCTATGGCCCAGCAAGCTCACTTCTACTATACTTGAATTGATCCATTTTTACTAACCTCGGAGCATATGATCAGATTTTATTATTTTATTTTTTCTATTAGAACATATGATCTATATATATATTTTATTAGATGATCTATTTTGAGAAAGGAACATTATATTTGAGAAACATTTTCACAAAATGGATTGTAGCTGTATTTTTCTAACATGAAAGTAACATATTTTCACCCCACCATTTGATCAAACATTCCGTTAACACCCATCTCGATCAGCTACCACTCCAAAGGGCATGTTTATTAACGATTAAGTAAAAGAATGACCATTGTATAAATAATCCAATATATCGTAGTATTATCCATGGACATTTTCCATGTTTTGAATATATATGTTTTAGGCTTATTCTTTTGTAGGGAAAGCATATCATTAAGTAGGATAAAGGGAACATGAGTTAATGTTGTTTCTTAAAATATATATCCCACATTACACTCATTTCTCATTTAATTATCAATAGCCTTGAATTGATAATTAAATGATATATAATTAATGCTATAATTTTGTAAAATTAATTTAGTACCATTTTAAGAGCTTATAAAAAAAATCAGTTTATCGGATAACTTAACTACAAAATTTGTATATATTTGGAATATTAATTTGACATATTACAAATAAAAGATTAACAAATATCATTACACTTTTGTATAACTAATTAAAATGGATATATAATATTTTTACAGTAAGAAGAAACCTCTCAATTGAGCTATTGGATATTTTATTTGTCCATTTATCCATGTATTTCTGTATTTTCCTAAGCTATATCTCAAATGTATGTCATGCATAATTTTTGTGGAATGAATATATTACTATGCATTCTATTTATTTATATTAAAAAAAAGTTGAAACGGAAGACTGCTTTTGTACACAATAATAAAGCTAAAACAAGATTTAGCTATAATCATTTTTATATTTCAAAATCCTTTTGGGTATGAGTTTCTTGAGGCCAGAGCTAGTCGTTTCTTTCAAATCTCGTTGGCTAATGTTGTCTTACTTTTGTTTGTTTATGTTGCTAAGTGGTGGTCCTGATCAACTATTCCATTGATTTGATTAGACTTGATGATGACTAGTCTTCTAAACAACATATTTTGATCAGAGACCATAGCAGATGGATCCCCCTTTGTGCAACACCCATTTAGATTATGGTCACCGCGTATGCCACCGCGTTGTAGAAAAGCAAAGCCAAAATACAATATTATCTAGTCGTATATTATACTAAAAGCATATATGTAGGCATTGTTAAAATAAGTGAATGCCCAGGAAAGAATATTGCAATAACAGCTTTGGAAATAAATTATTAGCAATGTTGCAGCATGTCACTTCTTGTAACATGCCGAGGATACTTTACTCTGTTGCTTTAATTTTCTGTACATGATCTTAATTTGATACTTCCGCTTCACTTACACACATGATTAAGAGACAGTTAATTATTTCTATATATAGTAGTCTCAAACTCAAGCTCAACTCTCTCCGACACACACATAATGGAGTAAAGCAAAAATTTTTAATTAAGTAATGTTTGTTTCTTATATGATTATTTTTTTAATCTATTGATGTGGGTTACATAATGAGAGGTTACCACCCTGGCCTTTACTTTTAAATTTTGCATTCTTTCGTAAAGGAAAATTGTACACAAAGATCCTTACAAGTTACATTAATGCAACAATTACTAATTAATACTGGGATAGGACGTCTCTACTGCCCAAGTCTTGAACGAATATTCCTTTTTCGAATGAACCCAATTAAACTTTGATTGAGCCATTTATGTTCGTACACAACATGGCCTATATACAATAATGTCAAATTCGCACCCTATGTCTGCAATCAAGTACCCATGCAAAGAGGGCATCTTAATTTACTGTGAAGCTTCAATAGGTATACAATTATCCAGCCCTCGTTTACTACAGTGTAGTTTAGGGTCAAACGTTAACGTACTTCGCGTAACTATATATTGCCAATACTTATGTAGCCAAGAATGTGACTAAATAACACAAACACACACACAAGAGAGAGAGAGAAAGAGAAAAGGAGATAAATTTGTCATCGAATAAAATATGCAAGACACACTTCCTTCTGCATTCAGGTTTGTTAGAAAGGAAGGATATAAAGGATAGTTGGCAATGATTTGGTTTCTAAATATTTGGTCTATCTGATTCTTCCAGAATGAGATTATCTTTAAAGTTAATACAGTTGATCTTGATAAAGTATTAGATCTTATTAAAGTTATGATAGATCTTAAAATTAAAAAAATAAAATGTACACATGTTTTGCAAACATTGAGTGATTTCTCAATCCTCTCTATTATTTGAAATCGTTATGCAGAAAGATATCATAAGTTGATGCTGCTCGGTTTCTATGAGGAATTGTTATTTCTTTGTTATTGGTAAATTGACTTATGTAAAAATGATTAAAGTATCTCTTGTACTTCATTTGAGTGTACTGTTTTTTTTCCCCTTATATATAAAAACTATATGTAGAGCCGCTTTCTGCATAAAGAATAAATAATAACATGTTATGTTGATTGTGACAATTAATTGACTTTCATATATGAACTAATATGAAATGTTATTAACATAGCAATTCCAATCATTAATTATATTGATGAACATATGACTGGTGAAAGTAGAATTATGACATGGGTAACTCTCAAATATATATGCTTGCTCTCTAAAACAAAATTTAAATATTTCAATATAATATTTGTATTCAAAAATAATTAATACATCCTTTCTCGATAAAAAAATTATTATTTTAGTTATTTATCTTCAATTTAAAGATCAAAATTAACATATTTTATATAATACAATAATCATTTGCTCAATATGGTTGACATTTTAATGTAATAATTACATCAATTTAGTAAACATTTAAGATCTTTTGTATCAAATTTAATCAACGCTTTTTTCATTATAATTAAATAATATGTTGCTTAAAAATGTGTTTAAATTTTAGAAATTAAAGTTATTGACAGCTCAAGAAAAATGTTGAGTTCGTTAAACGACGCATAATCAATGAAGCTGAAATGTCAAAATTAATTAATATATTTAAGTTTTTATATATTAAAAATCAAATTTTCTTTTAAAAAATGTTAATTCAATTCATATTTATCGAAATGTTTGAAACGATAGATATACAATGTTGCTTTTCCTGAGAAAATTAATATATGCTCAATGCATAATTTGACTTGTTTCTACTCTATGTCGGTGTCAAGTACTAGAGAAGTTAAGATTTAATTAGTGAGTCTAATTAAGTATTGCCAAGGATACTGTCAGACATTTACGTACTGTGTAGAATGTTACACTGATGATTGATGAACCTTGATATGTCATAATTAATTACTTTTACATTATTAATATCATATTCCTAGTAAATGTACATACAATTAAAAATATGATAATTCCTAGTATATTTTTCTGACGATCCAAGAAATTAAGACTGCAGCCTATGCCATCTCAAAAACCCCAAAAAATCTGCAGTCTAAACCCTGCAACGTAACCATACACCGGTAGGTACGTAGTCTGAATCATTATACCACAAGATGGCATTTTTTTTTCCCTTTTTCTCACGTTATTTTATTATAAAAGAAAACCAGGGGCAGCTTTGTTAAATAACTTACTTGCCCATGATGTTACAATACGTATAAGATTCTATACCTTGTTCCCCTCTGCATGGAATGCTAAGAATCTAATTATGATATCTAGAAAACACCGTGACATCATATATCACATGCTTATACGTAAATCCCCTCAAACAAGTAGTGGATACAATACATCAATTATATTATATCTATTATGTCTGGAATACGTAACAGTATAATGATGAAGATACCATATATTATACGATTAATAAAATGTGACAGTGATTATTTTATTAAAATACGCCTAGTATTGCGTGTTGTAGGGATGGACGGTTTGGTGGCCCACACAGACTTTTGAGGGGGACTCTGATTTTTGTTAGTTTGTGAGCAGACAAAAGCAGAGAAGCTTCTTATCCTCTCCCTCTAGGTTTTCACACAACACCTTACACATAGAATCTGTTCAAAAGCCAAAGACCTTCCCTTTGAGGCTTTTGCCCCTCAATTTCTCTCATAATTACTCATCCCATACCACATCCCTCCCTACTTTATTTCTTTTGTGTTTGCCACGAAAAACCAAAACTTTGTAATATACTTGAATTTCAGGGGTAATTTCCCAATGCTTTGATCTCAACAGTAGTGGCCTATTTAGTTCAATGTCATACAAGCTGTTTTGGTTCATGTCCTTCCCACCCATTTCCAAATTTCCCTCTCTCTCTCTCTCTCAAACATTGATCTAACTTTGCAATGGCTCCAATGAGTCTCCCACCAGGGTTTAGGTTCCACCCCACAGATGAAGAGCTTGTTGCTTATTACTTAGAAAGGAAAATAACAGGTCGCTCAATAGAACTTGACATCATCGCTGAAGTTGATTTATACAAGTGCGAACCTTGGGATTTGCCAGGTACATGTAACATTATATATTATCATTATGTACATCTGATATGATATGATTCATATGAATAGTATCACCATTTACCAAGTTCTTAATTTTCACCAAGATTATTTATAATTTTATGTTTCAACTAAACTAATAATGTACCACCAAATTCCATTTTCTTAAAAAATTGATCAAACAGATAAATCATTCCTTCCAAGCAAAGACATGGAGTGGTATTTTTACAGTCCAAGGGACAGAAAGTACCCAAATGGATCAAGAACAAATAGGGCAACACAAGCTGGGTACTGGAAGGCTACTGGGAAAGATAGGCCAGTGCACTCTCAAAAGAAGCCAGTTGGCATGAAGAAGACATTGGTTTACTACAGAGGTAGAGCACCACATGGGATTAGAACCAACTGGGTTATGCATGAATATCGCTTAATTGAATCAGTGCCTGGTGCTGCTCTCTCATCATTGAAGGTATGCTAGCCTTTTTTCTTTTCTTTTCGTCTTTCATTGACAAAACTAAAAGCACCCACCAAATTAGTAGGGTATCAGAGATAGGCGAATTCATAAAAGAGCAAGCATTATGGAAAATTAATAGATATAAAAGGGTATACAAGATCCCTATTTGAGATTTTACATTCAGTTTATTCACCTCCCTATATAAAATCTTCTGTGATGCTAACAAATAAACTCACCAAAATTTATATCAAGTCCCCGTTTATTTGTATATCTTGTTTCATCTTCGTTATTTTCTTCACTTCCTTTTTACATTTTTATTTTCTGTTAGAAGGAATGTTTTCTAGAATATTGGCTTAATAATTTTGAGTTTTTATGAATAAAAAACATCATTTCTTGAGTAAAAACTAGGGTTTTGGAAAAAAAAAAAAAAAAGAACAAATAAAGTAGGGAAAGACTAGATCGTTTTACCAAAAAAAACACTAGATCGTACAGTGTTCGTTCGTTAGGTAGATTGTACGTAATAGTAGGCGAATGTTTTTTATTTTCCTTTTTTTTTTTTTTTTTTGGTATCTTCAAAAGTGTAGTTGATAATTATTGAATGGTTATACATATATAAGAAACCCTAAAAAGACACAAAAGTCTCCATGAGATGAGACCAATGACCAAATTAATCCTCACTTAGTGCTTGCTTTAATTTAGTCTTTTTCCCATAAATTGGTCTCACTGATGGAGTGATGTAGGTACACTTCTTTTAAGATTGATGCATCTGCGTATGTGATCATTATCTGGTCGTAGAGTCAAATTCACTAGACCAAACGTTTTCTATGTTCAGCTTGAATATAGAGTAGCTAAGCTAACTCCATCTTTGTTTTAAATCTTGTTCTACAAGGATGCACATGCCTCCAATATATATTCCTTTCCTCTCTTTTTCTTTATATGATTTGCATACTTTAATTTTTCTCCTCTTTAAAAAGAACAGCTTATGATCGAAACATTATGATGAAAATTCAAATCCGTGTACCTAGATACTATTGCATCGACCCTTTTCTGTTTCCACCAAACTCTCTAAATTTGATTTTTTGTTTGTTACTCTTTCCCGCATTCATTGTATTTAAACCAAACCAAAGAAAAAAAAAACAACAGAACTTTGATCATAAAAGGATAAGTAATTACATACTGTTTTGGCAAAAAAAATTTCACCACATCACAGGACTCCTATTCGTTGTGTCGCATTTTCAAGAAGACAATTCAAGTTCCAACCAAACCTAAAGAAGAACAAATCGAGGATGCAAAGAAGGAATCGCTGTGGATCTCTGAAGAACAAGTGTTAAGGGAAGACTCAAGTGGCACTGAGATTTCTAGAGAAATTGAAACCGTGGATGAGAAAGTTCTCAATCATGAACACCCTAAATTTCCTTGTGACGCTTCTTCTTCTGATCTCACTCAAGGAACATGTACACCCACAGATACCGGTATAGCAGATGATTTTCAACCACAATTTGCTTGTGATGAAGCAAACAGTGCAGCTAATTCATACACAATGGCATTAGGATACCCCACAAATCTATTTCAGGTAACATTTATAAATTAAATTTTAAATTTCAAACTTTAATGACTTTCATGATTTTTTGAGTTTGTATCTTAGTACTAGTCACGTAGACGTGGCATGATTATATAGATCTATAGGAGGCATATAAAAAGCAAGCTGGGCCATAGCATGATCATTATTATATTGATCTGATTTGTGTTTTAACTTTTCCTTTTTCTCCATTGTCCTTGGCATTTATGTTCATGATGGCTTCCTTTGCCAATCCTGCATTTTCAGCGACATTCGGCTTTATATTCCTACTTTATCGATTTATGGCATACACCTTAAACTAATACACATAAATGTGTCAAAATTACTAGGATAAATTATATCCTATATAGTTTCACACTTTTTCAATTTATCCCTTATATTTATTTTTGTCATTAAACTCTCTATTTCTTTCCTCCTTCTTTTTTTGTCACTTAACTCTTCGGTAGTGTTATTTTTTAATATCACTACTCTTCATAAGGAAATTTATTGATAAATATAAAAGAATAAAAAGATAAAAAAAAAAAAACGTGAAACTATAAATGAGTAAAGTGAAATTTACCCAAATTACTGCTAGAATGTACTTGCATGTATGCATGAACTTGAACCCTTCCACTTATGTCTAAACAAATAATTTTACTATTCATATGTGTTGTAATTGGTGGGGCCACATAGCATATCTTTGAGTTCTCTTTTGATCTTAAAGTGATGAAAATTGGAAGTATGATGAAGTTCTTATCTTTTCATAAAGCTCACTTCTAAAATTCACTTGGACTGACTCCAATTTAGCTTTTTCTTCACCATCTTCTATAACTTCTTTTGACTGACTACTCAAAACGTTTTCCAAAGTAAAGATGTCTTTACTCCCCCATTTTCCTCACGGGTTGATACGTTCTAAAATTAAAGCACACATATCAAACATCTCACACACATCTTTATCTTTAATCACATTCTTTTTTATTAGTAATGTCTAGACCATTTCCAATTTTAGCAAAAGCTAGTTAAGTGAGAAGTGGCTTGTGTCTTCCCGTCAGCATTCAACTAGCTTTTCAGTGTTCATACCAGCATTATATGCATCTGATTGGGGACTTCAACAAGTTCAGTTTACCTCGTCCACTCTTAAATCGATTCAATCACCTTTTATTCTTTTCCTTTTAAACCTAAAACCACCATTCTAGCCCCACTTCTTTTTTTGCCACTTGCACTACTCCCAAGTTGGGCTTTAGTTACAATTAAGCATGAGTAATACAAGTGTTTCCAGAATCAAATCATCAATCCCTATTTTTGACTCCTTTTATATTCTCTCAATTTTAAAAGAATGACACTTTACATAAAATACTAACAATCAAGAGAAAATGTACAAATTTTTAACCACGTGTCATCTTTAATTGGGTTGATAAAAATAGAGACAGATTATTTCAATTCAGTATCTTTATAATTAATTTTGTATCAATTAATTAATCTTCCTACTATAGCATATATATTGGCATTTGAAGATTAATACATTTTTAATTTATTATGGCGCAGGATGTAGAAATCTCTACCTATGCTATGCATTATCAATTCCCATACACACCTTTGGTGCTGGAAGATTTCCCACAAGTAAATTTACCAGAGACAAAGTCAACAAAGTCCGAAATGCCTGATGATGGCATGTTATATGATAGATATAGGGACTGTATGAATGGAACACTAGAAGAGATCATCTCTTTGTGTTGCTCTCAAGATAATTCAGTCCCCTTTCCCATGCTAGAATGATTATACTAACCAAAATGACCCAGACTATAGCATCACAATATTCATTTACACAGAGAAACTTGTGTTGGCTAAAATAACGACACAAATGGGGATTGTTTTTCCAGCCACAAAGAAAAGGCTACACATATAATGTATTAAACATATAGTAGAATATGCTGAGCCAAGGAGGGCTCGCATATAATTGGTTTTTCTTTTTTTTTTCGGTGTTGTTGCTTCTTCTTCTTCTTTTTTTCTATAGGGGTTTATTTCTATTTGTTATATGATATGTTGGTGTTCAAATGTCTGGTCTAATTCAGATAGCAAATGAATGAGGCAAATTTTCAATGTCTCACTTGTTTTGTAGTTAATGTTTATCTTCAAACCATTACATCTTCGAATATTTACGATAGTCTATTTTTTAAATTAAATTATACTTTACTCTCATATAATTTCATGCTTTGTAATGTATTTTCTATATCTTTCTTTATGTCATTAAATTTTTTATACGTTTTCTTTTCATGTCACTTAACTCTTTTATAGTATTATTTAATTACGAGAGAGAATAAAATACAATTTATCTTTCTTTATTGGCTAACGAAACAAGATTAAGACCTTAATTTTTTTTCAAGAAAATAGTTCTTCCTAGAAAAATCCCATATTTCTATGTTAAACATTGTTCTATTTCTACAAATCTAAATAAAAAATAAGACAACCACCCAAATGGGTGGATTTTTACGTCCTCCAGTAAACTGAAAATGTTTCTTAGAAAAGCTTGCATGCATTATGGACCATTAATTGAAACTAAATGGTTAAAAATGTAAGATAGAAACTGATGATATATATCTAAAGGTGATTGGCTGAAACTACATGGTCCCGAGTTACCAAATAATTTTTTATTATCCAAAATTAATATCTCTTTTAACTTTGATGGTATTATATTTAAATAGTGATAAATTTTTTAGACTTAAATATGTTATTAGTCTCTATAAATATAACACATTTTACGATAAATTTTTTAAATTTTTTATTAAAATTTAATCCCTAAAATGTTAAGAAGTTTAGATTTAATCTTTGTTAGTAATTCTATTCTATTCAGTATTGAAACAACTGACAGAAAGTCAGCACACTCACATAACATGTCACGATATTTAATTTTTAATATTTTATTATTTAAAATTAATATTTGCAAATAAGTCTTTAAATATATTTTAAATCATTACAAACAAGTCCCTTCCTCCTTCCCTTTCCTAGCTACCCAAAAAAGTTATGTATTTACTTTTTTTACTTGTACTTTTAGTAGCCTTCTTTATATTTATTTAAACTATCTTAGTCAATTTTTTGTCATCTTTATATCTTGTAATAGATGTTACTTTATTTCATGTATAGTCATTTTTTATCTTTTTCTTTTTTGTATGACCATTCATTCACTATACCATTTTCATTTATGTAATTCTGTTTTTTTCTTATATTGTTCTTTTAAAATTTACCATTCACTATCATATAAAATAGTTGGTCTTATAATAGTATGATAAAAATTTTCTTTTAGTTTTATAAATACTTTATGATTACAGATAAGTGTTGATACTTTCACTACGCCAAAAATGAGATCTAAGAGTAGTTCCACCGACGTTAAGAGAGCGGTTATTGGTGCTCTAAAATCCTGTGCTATCCAATGCTTATATTTATTAGAGCGATTAAATAACCGCTCTTAATGTTAGCCCTTGGAGAGCGGTTCAAATAACCGCTCTCATATGTTAACCCTTGGAGAGCGGTTCCCCCTCAACCGCTCTCTAAATGGCACTTTAGAGAGCGGTTAACGCCAAACCGCTGTAAGAGTTGATAAGATTGGAGAGTGGTTCCTCAACCAACCGCTCTCTAATGTCAAGCTTTCTGAGAGCGGTTCCAACTAACTGCACTCCAAAGTAAGTATCTGAGAGTGGTCTTTTACGAACCGCTCTCTAAATTCTAACTGTTAAAGCGGTTGTCTCGTGAACCGCTCTCTAATGTGTGGTTATTTTAGCAGTTTTTCTTTAACCGCTTTCTAAAGTGTAATTTTGAGAGTGGTTGTTGTTGAACCGCTCTCTTAAATTTAAAATTATTTCGTCAGGGCCCTTTACAGAACATCATTATCCTAATTTTTTGCATACATATTATCATAAAATATTGCAAACAGTTTACAACAACCTGTGATAACCACAAAGATAAACCAACCACATTATAGATACAATTACACAAAATGTTCACAATTAAAAAGGCTTAGCAATGTATATACACTTTTGGCTAACTTTTGATAGAATTATGAGTAGGTGTTGTAAAAAAAAAATAAGTACTAAGAATCAATTGTGCTTAATGTGTCCTTCAAATATCTATGGTACATATATGCACACCACTCCCTTTGAACTTGATGAATTGTGTTGTCAGGAAAGGTTGGTAATTGGAACTCTGGAAAATACTGGAAAGAAAACAAAATACATATCTTAGTTATATTAGATATAATTCAAATGGGCAGACACTATCCTAATAAACACTTAGTGATATAAAATAATTTTGGATATACACTCCTCTTACATTAAATGGGATTGTAGTCTATCCATGGTGCAAAACATCTCTAATGAAGAGACACACATAATATCCACAGTCATCATTATTTGATTGCTTAGGACACTGTACGTGGAGGAAAAAAACATAAAAAGCATGATTAATAAATGGACAATATTAAGTGTAAATTATGCAGTGTTATAAAAGAAGTTAAAAGAGTTTTTTGTCAAACGATATTGAGACCTGTATAGTGACCCAATTTGTTTGATGCATCTTTGTCCTATAAGGCTGCACTTTTCTCTCAACTCGATATGTGACAAGAGCACTAACAATAAAATGAAAGAACAAACTTACAATTAAACGAAAGCACATTCACTCAATTTCAGATTTCAAACCATAATTTCTAACAACATAACTTCAACAATAATCATGCATTCACAACATTACATAATTTCTAACAATATAATATCAACAACAATCATGCATTCAGAACATTCTATAAGCCATAACATTTAAAAAAAGGAACAATCTTATTTCATCAGTCAAACTAAGCATGGGATTTCACTTCCTATATTCCAAGTCTAGTATGCAATTTGAGGCCAGGTTTGATGAACTTATTCGAGGTCTAAAACTGCATTATAAAATTATGTAAGACCACTAAATATGATAATGTTTTTTCACTACACCACTAAAATTATGTAAGACCACTAAACTGCGTTATAAAATTATGTAAGCCCAGGTTAATTTATTCAGTAAACCACTTCTACTCCTATTCCAAAATCAAATGATCTCATTTTGTTGACATTGATTTAATTGTAAATATAAATTTTTTATGTCATTGTCTTCTCCTGTACTCTTTATTAATTTATTATATTTTGGGCCAGTTCTCGTCCTAACTAAAACACAAATTTTACTAACTAAAAATTACAAAGAACCAAAATTAACAAATTACCTAAAAATTAACAAAAAAAAATTAACAATCGACTAACCTTGAAATAACGTTGGGTCGCAGTTATCTTGCAGAGAACCAAAATGTTAAACAAACACACAGAACCAAAAATGGCAGAGAGGACGTTTATGTAACTATTAACCTAAAAATAAAATGGCGTCCAGTCAACACAGAGGACCAAAATGCTAAACAAAAGCGATAAAGACAGAAACGATGAAGAAAATACCTTCTCAGTGGCAATGCGCAGTCAACTGTGGTGTTCTCCAAAGCAAAATCCTCAGCAAACACAGAAATTTAGAAATACAGAGTAGGCACGAGGACAGTGATAGCCAGATTTAGGGGTTAGGGTTTATTTTGAAATTACACTTTAGAGAGCGATCGACTTAACCGCTCTCTAATATAATCTTTTAAAAGCGGTTGAACCAAAGAACCACTCTGTAATCTTTGTGAGAGTGGTTCCACATGTCAACCGCTATCTGAAAAGTGGAACTTATGAGAGCAATTACCAAATAACTGCTCTCCAAACTAGTTTAAGAGAGCAGTTTAATCTCAACCGCTCTGATAAGTGATTTTAGAGAGCGGTTCTTTTACAACCGCTCTCTAAGTTGTGCATTAGAGAGCGGTTCGTATGCAACCATTCTGAAAGGGTTAAATTGCAGAATGGTTGAGCGTTAACCGCTCTCTTTATTTCTGATACAAAGCGGTTTTCACTAACCGCTATCTAGAATTGCGCTACAAGAGCTCATTTTTGGCGTAGTGTTTTATCCACTAACCATTCAACATATAATATTTTTGTTAATTTTTTCATTATTCTATAAAATTGAACTCAAATACTTAAATTTAAAAATTTATAATATTACATTATCTTTAATTTTAACTTACAATGCATGTTTAAATATTACTCTTAATTATTAATGTAGAATCAACGAGTTCTCAGCAAAAAGGATAGACTAACCCATTGTTATATATATATATATATATATATATATATCACTTTTACCATAATTTTATTATTAATGCAAAATTTTTAGCTTTACATAAATTTTTTATTTTTATCTAATGTAAACATTTATACTTATATTTTAAATATTAATATAATTCCTTATAAAGTTTCCATTCATACATGATGAATATGTTTATTATTATAAATATTTAAGTAAAAATCAAAAGATTTATATGTTACATTTTTTAAACATCTTAAAAATATTGGAGTAATTTTTAGCTTTGTTTATTTTATAATACGAAGAAAGGTAAATTTTCATAGTTTAATGTCCAATAAAAAGATATTTGGATATTTTTTTTAAAATTAAACATTTGAAAACTATTAAATGTTTTAATAATTTTGAATGAAAATTATAAGAAAAACTATATCAATATCATATATTATGATCTTATATGTGTACTCTAATAATATTTGAAAAATATTATCAAAAAGAAAAAAACTATATCAAAATTATTATTGAACTATATTGGTATAACCATATATTGGTATCATCGTAAAAAAATTCAATGGGTTTCCTTAAGTGACAAGTCT